CTCATCCTATACAATATATGTATATACATAAGCACTACACATATATAAGTTTGAAAGATCAATGTCTCTAAGGAAGAGGTGATAAGTGATCAGTTCCAAACCCTCCTAAAGAAGAACCACCAGTATGGGGTGGTGCAAAGCCTACAGAGTATTGCTAGCTAGGTAAGCACATATGCTCTTGGAATCGCCTCTCAAAGTTAGCCTCCAACTCCGATACTTTTTGTGATACCTCTGTTTGAACATGTGCAACCACCTCTGTCTAAACTCGTTCTGCCATTTCTTCTCGAACTTGAGTAAGCTCAAACTGCAATTGTTGGACCTGTGTCATAAGAATCTTGGTTGTAAAGGATGAGGCCCCACTCATGTCTTATCGTCGCCAAGGGATGCCATGCTTTGCTGGATCTTGTAATGTAGACATCTCTCTCATCTGACCCTTTTTAGGGGGTCCAACCACCTCCTTCCAGATAAGTGGATCTCATTCTAGCCATAAATCCTTATTTGGCCCATGCTTCTCCACATACCTTAGGTGAGCATCATTCTATTTCAAAAATAAAATTTTCATTAGTTAAACCAATTTAAATTTTATTAACATTAAAAATAAATATAATTAATATATCATAAAAGAATTAGATACTTACATACATTTGCTCAGCTTGTGGACATACCCAAGTGGGTGAGGCATCTTCTAGAGCATCAGGTTGGTGAGTTGTGTGAGTTAACAGGTATGACTCTAACGATGTGGGTCTAACTCCCCTTCTTTTTGCTGCCTATTAAAACATCAATAACACTCAATTTTAAAAAATGTTTAGATGAAGAAAAGGTAAGGAATGTTGATAAAATATTTTTAAAAAAGCATAATCATCTACTTTGTGTAATTTTTTTTTCTTTATATATGCCAAGTATATCTTTCTTAAGTAAAGGTTAAAAAATGGTATTTAATTAGTATCATATGCCAAAAAAACAATAAAATGGTCACTTTCAACAATGTTTCTATATAAATATATATATATATATATATATGCAAGTATATTTTACTGACCAATCGATCCTTGTGGATCCCAATAATGCATCCAGTTGTGTGGGTCACATGGTCACCCCTTCCCCTATTTTTCCGACCTCTTTCTTGGAGTGCAATATATTTTGGATTCCTCCATTTTGCCAACAAAATCTTAAAGGTTTCCTTATGCATGAACTCAGGCAACTTCTTGTAATTGATCCATGCCTTTCGGACCCAATGAAGCTCATCATGGACACGGTTTTGGTAATGTAATCTTCAAATCCTATTCACATGAGCATCATCTTCTTCCTAATAATATGTCCTCTATAGTTATTAAATTAGTTAAATTTTAATAAATCATTAGATTTTTTTAAAAAAAAAGGGTAGAGTTCCACCTAAAATATCAATTTTCCCACTATTAACAAAATAAGAAAAATCATATAAAAATATTCAATACTTTCATATCATAATCTCATCAAAAGATAGCATCTAAATAAGTTCCCAAAAATACTTCATAGCCAATATACTCAAAATGAAATTTTATCATGGAAGCAAAAGCATAATCTAGCAACAAAAATGACCATTTCAAAAAAAAAAAAAATCTGTTCTGGTAAGGAAAATCAAAAAAAAAAAATAAAAACATAGTGCTTCTATGAATTAATGTCAAAATCATATAAAAATATTCAACACTTCCATATCTGTATACAAATCAAAAGATAACATCTAAGTAAGTAGAAGAAAAATCAGATAAAAACCTCTACTTTTCTCCACTTTTAAATAGAATTGAAGTTTCCTGGAACATCGAAAGGAAAATTATGTTTTCCCTGATTCTATGGAGTTTTGGGAGATGGGTAAATGAATGGTTTGGTGGGACTTTTTCTTATAGAAATCAAGAGAACGTGGGTGCATGTTTTGTGGAACAAATTAAGAGTAAGTTTTTGTTGAGATTTTGTTAAAAAATTTCAATGGAAGAGACAAGAGATCAATGCCGGC